TCTGCCTTTAAAAGCACACACAACCCACAATTCCTCTATTCGCTCCGACGAAGGGCTAACGCTCGAAACTTCAGCTATTGTAATCATTACGGTGGCCAATTTACCACTTCAACTTTGTTGATATATCCAAATTATCTAGTTAAACTGGGTTTAGCTGAATGAAAATTAGAAACAGAGAATTAAAATTTTTTTTATAGGATCTAAGTAATCGCTAACTTGTATTTTCAATGTCCTACATTTGAAGTCGACAAACATCGGTTTAAGAAGCTTCCATGAAGAAAAAAAATAAAAAGTGCTTAACGAAGCTGCTTTAAAACATGCTTGTGTTTTGGTGTTAATGGGGTTATTAGATTACAAACTTTTTCAGTAACCTTTTCCGGAGGAGAGAAGTTGCTCTACATCAGCTTCCTTTCCATTCAGTACAGCTTTGTGGAGCCCACCATGATGATCTCGATTGTTAAACCGTAAATTGATTCTTCCCTGCAAAGTTGATATTTAAAATGTTTGTTAGCAAAACAATTCAAGGGGCGGTTTACGACTGAAAGTCGAAAATCAGGGTCGTGTAATCACAAAGTCCGAATTGAACAAGGCAAAATCTGACTAGCAGAAGCTGATCAGAAGTGAAAGTAATCACCCATATTCTAGCTGCCTGTGTTGTGTGTAAACACAAATCACAAAATCACGTTTTGCTTTTGCATATGAAAATGAGGAAGGAGACACGAGGTCTTTGACCCTTTAATTCCTAGAGGAGATCAACGTGTAACTTCTTCTTATAATATCCGTACGATTTCCAGCAAACAGGTCTTGAGAATACTCAAACTTATCAGGTAGAAGTTGTCATCTTGATCTAACACCAAATTCTTGTAACTAAGAGGGGGAGCTAGAGGGGAAAATTAACAATCAGATCTTCGGAGTTAAAAGGTAAAAGCAGCCGGTAGCTAGGTACAACTCAACCAATCCCAAATAACTTTTATCATTAATTTTATAATTTCTCAATATATTAAAGATATCATTTCTTTTCTATCTACTTTTCTCTTTATATTTTCATGTTTCTTTTTCATCTGCTTTGACTTTTCTTTCTTTCTTTCTCTCTCTCTTCTTTACCTAATAAAACTCCTTCCAGCAAAAGTGTTCGGAAATCTATATTGGAAAGTTTTTACGAAATAAATTTTACTAAATCCATCAAGCTTCAAACATGTCTCCACGAAATTTGTGATTGGCTCTTACCAAAACAAAAAACAAAAATAACCAAAACAAAGCGCGTATTGCGAGGAGTGCGAGTGGGGTTCTCGCGCGAAATTTGCGCTTTGATAAAAGTCGTTAACACTTCTATTTTAATCTTAATGTCTCAGTTTTCTTCATCCAAAATACACTGCTCTATTTAATCATGTTTTTTTTTTTTTTCATAACCATTAAACGCTTCCTTACAGCAAATCAGCGGGAGATTGCTGAGCGCTAAGCGAATATATTTAACCCTTCTCACAGCCTGTTTCAAATATAATTATTAAGTAAACGTCAAACACCACGCTTGATTTTCAACAGCTGCCTCACACTACTGGATAAGGGGCGAACATACCTTATCGGCAAGACTGCTCCTTCTATAAGCGCCTCTCGCCGTTATTTTGTTATTCTAATTCAGAGTTATCGAAAAGAGCCACGCGCCAAAATTACCAGCCGAGGAGACGATGAATTATTTCCAAGGCATCAGTCCTTCCCGTATTTAAAAATTAATGTTACATATGTCAAAATGTACAAGTAAAATAGAGTCTCCTTGTAATAAACGGATTTAAAGCGATTACAGAAAAAAACCTATGGTTTATATTCGTATTCGCCGTCGTAGCGACAAAATAGTCAGGGATCGCTCCGTTATAAATATTCTGAAGATCGTTTTCATCATGTTCTAATTAAAGGGATCTTTGAATGATGACTTTTCGTTTTTCCGGCGAAAATCCTAGCTGCCACAATTAACAGCGTTGTACATCAATTAATTGTGACACAAGTAAAGGGGGAACGGAAAGTTCTTTTCATTCTGTTTTCTGTATCACTGATCTGAAATCACTTTGCAAATAGAGACCATTCCTGGGAGAGTTTTGGCCCTTAGATATACAGAAATCAAACAATGCAATCTCATAAACATAGACTGAATTTTGAATAACTGAAGGGTTTCCAATGAAACTGCTAACAGGTACGCTGGTAAGAAAAATATAAAAAAAAAAATTTACCCGAAAATGTACAAAGTGAGCCAAGGTCTGCCAGTTTTCTTCCTTTGCGCTTCTCCCATCATAGCTTGAAATGCGCGTTCTCGAACATGTTCCATTTTCTAAATTCAGCATCTTAATCCCTTGTTTTTCACACGTAGCTTTTCCTTTTATCCTCGTCTTTTCTTTCCAATTCCGAATCTGAAAATGGTTTTGCTAACTTGAAGTAAAATTTCGTGTGTTTTACGCTGTACGTAGCTTAGAAATTTGCTTGCGGCAAGAAGCGTTTTCTTCAGGGAAATCCGACAAATTTTTCTTGTGCGGAAATTAGGGAAGCTCGTTTTTCATGTACTCGACCAATCGAGAAGAGGCAGATTTTCATATTTACCTTTCACACGGCATATTTGCATCTCTAAACTACTTGCGTCGGACGAAAATTAGCATATCAAAATTGCTGTTGGCAGAACAGAGAAGCTGAATAAATCTGAAATCCGCTCGAAAACGACACTTTTGTTTCTAAGCCATTTCTCTACTGAAATAAAGAAATGTGTTCCGCTGAAGCGATCTACGTGATCTGACCACAGCTGAACAAGATAGAACCTCAGTTTGAAAAAGGATCGCATCAGCTCCGATGATAAAACATAACATATGACACTTGCTAGTACAACAGAAATCTCATTGTGGTACAAACGGTGGGTAAATAGCAAGCTTTTAGCGGTTTACTTGGAAAAACGAAAACACCCTTGTTATTCATCTACAGTAAGTGGGCCTCAAAGCTTAAACATATTTTGATCTGTTCTTAGACTTTACTGAATAGAAGGTGTTTCTCGATAATCCGTCAGTATTTATAAAAGAACTTCAGTAGTTTTTAGTTATAATTCCTCTCTTAGTAAACAATTAATCTGTCACTTTAAGATTGTCATGTATGCCTAAAGTTATCGTAGTAAAAGAAGAAAAATCCTGATCATATCTATTTAGGATGAGAGCGACTCAGTGCCTCAATGGCATTAAAAAAAAAACAGAGCGAAACTGGTTTCAGAAAGAATATTTTATCGATTCATCTTTACAAGTAAGTTACTAAAAAAACTGATTAAAAACTGCGTGTTCATTTTCTTTCTTGCCTATAACTGACACCCCGCAATAATTTTGTTTCAAATTAAAGAGCCAGGTCGTGAAATCCTGCAGTGAGCTGTCAAGGCGCTTTAGAAGTCACGTCAACATCTGACATCAAAGTAAAAGCACTTTTGCTGGAGCGCCTTGAGCGCCTTTCAATATTAAGATAATATGTCAATTGAGTAGTTTGTCATGATAGAAAACCTCAGAATGGAAAGGAAAACGAATGAGAATGACCAGAATAAAGAATATTGACAAGGTTGTTAATAAAAATCATAGAAGCTTTAGTCACCATGTTTGCAAGATGCGCGTAAGATAAGCGTAATCTTTTCCCCAAATTAAGTCCACTTGGGCCGTTTCCGCTCGAGTTCGATGATAATTTACGGACAGGTAGCTGTGAAAAACCGAATAAAGAGATTTAAATCTCTGTTTAATCCCTGTTTAAGCTCTGCAAATTTTATTATAAGAGGTAAAGTTTGGTGTGTGCGCTCCAAAAAAGTCATGAGTTCGTGGCAAAATCCACCAAAGCTTTTTGTGGGCATCAATGTAAAATACTGAAAAACCATTCAAACACAGCTACATTAAATATGACGTGACTGTATGATAACCGAAAATGAGAAAGGATCACGAACTGAATTTAAGTATGATAAAGTACCTTCAACAATGGAAATTAACAATATTATCAAAGAAATGGATGAGTTCTTTGATACCAAACGGGTGGTAGTAACTGTAAGCTATTAGGTCGCTGATGTTCGCATAAGTCCGCGAATGTACTGACGAACCCGTCAATTTTCGATCCACGCTGATCGCGCTCGCGACTTGAAAACATCTGTTCGCATCTTCACTGTTCGGTCGGAAGCCGTTAATGGACGAAACAAAAAAATCACGTTTACCAATGTCAACGGCCACACGAGGACGTGTCGCAAATGTTAAAAGACGAAAGAGGATAAGAAATGAACCAAGGTGTTTAAATACGTGCACCACCATTGCTTTGATCGCTCCAACTCTCGCTTGAAATTTATTTGACGACACTCTTGTGAGCAATTCATAAGCAAAAGTTCAAAGAAGTTAACTGAATAGATTTAAAACAACAAATGTGTTCAAATAATTTATTTATCTTCATCTTTTTTTAACGTTGCCAAAGAAAAGAGAAAAGGTGAAAAGAGATTTATCATTTTTTCAGGCAATAGCGATTGGTTCGCCATGGTCACATGACTCGTGCTGTCGTAACCTTGCTGAAAATAGTCAAACTGGACCAAGAATGGCAAAACCGAATTAAAAACAAAAGTTCAGTCCTTAGGTTACTTTTTCAACTCCGTTATAACAAAAAGAGAAAGAATCTATGATAATTTTTAGATAATTACAAAACAAATTTACGCTATTTGTCTAAAGGGCTGCATCTCAGTTTATTAGTAGCGATCGTCTGTTAAAAGCCAAACCGAGCATTTCACCCTTCCAGAACATTTTCAATGCAGTTTTACCACATGTCATGTGTTAAAAACAAGTTCAATTTTTAACGAAAGCATTATTGTGTAAGATTAATATACGGGCGCACTTATTACAACTTCTACAAAACCGTGCAAAATCACTTGTAAAATATCTTTCCGGTAGTCATAAAAAAACTTCCCATAATATCATAAAACCTCCTCAAAGTATTTCAAGAAACCATTTTAGTTTTGTTATTTTCTATTTAAAAACATCTGAGCTAGAATTCCTGGTTTAAATTTGCACAACTATGGAAGGGATCGTCCGACATTGTGAAAAATTGCTTTTCTCTTTTGCTGATAACGAATGTATTTTTTGACTAAAATCTTCATAAACTGGATTGTTTCCGGCAAGTGAATATCATTTCAAGAAAATAGCGATGAAACACAGCACCCGGCCTAAAAGGCCGTAGATATTTTTATGATATCTCAAAAATGTTCAAAATTGATAAATACTTTCTGACAATTTTGGTAACCTATGAATAATCCAAAACATATTGCGATGTTTAAAAACTCAATTTGGACCTATTTTTTTTTTATCGGCGCTGTTAAAAACGGGCCTTTGAGCGCTAAAGCGATTTTCGCTCGGAAAAAAATTATTTTACAAAATTTCCAAAAACCAAGGTGGCTTCGATTACTTATAGACTAAGACAGATTCCTGGGAAAAGTTTGAAAGAAATCTAGTTTTTTAACCGAAGCGCATCGTACCGCTTTGACAGACTGCCTCTTAAATGCTGAAATTTAGAAACAAGAGGCCTTGCTCATATTTGTTAACAAATTTCAACACAGTGGGTAAGTTGCGAGAGTTTTTACAAAGCATTCAATCGGTGGGAAAAGAAACAATATCAAAAAAACTAACCACAGAAGTGTTACTCATTCTCTATAGCTCTTAAAATGAATAAAGACAAAAAGATAGATATCCTGAAAATCTTTAAAGCCGTTTCTATGGATGAGCTGTAGATCCAAGTCCTGGATTAATTTGTCAAAAAGTATTTAATCCTTAAGCAAACAGCACATTACGGTTTGCTTTTCGCGAGAATTGCTAACACAGACGTTACATACTAACATGTTTTGTGGTCACACAAAGCGTGCAAATAAATTTTTCGTTTAATTTTAAAAATTGTCGCTCAATGAATCTGTAATTGATTTTTTACCGTCACAGCATGCTGCAATTTGTCTCGCTCTGTTTTTGCAGTGATTCGATCCTTTCGAAATGTGTCATTTAACTTTACGCTTGCTACTAGCAGATTTTCGGTCTCGTTGAAGCTTCTCAACAGTTGAATGCGTTGTTTCTGCATTTTGAGGTGCAGATAAATTTTGAAAAAAACCTGCATTGAACGGAAGTTATCTCAATAACTACACTAAGGATTGAAACCGGCGGCTTCTTGCCGCCTAAGGAATAAAAGAAACATCGATGCTTCAGCTGCGAAACGGATGTTTTCTCGCAAAGGTGGGGGTAACCTGTACTTAAAAATATAAAACGAAATAAGCTTAATTGTCCGTAGATAGTTAAGATGAAATTTCTATGGAAATGGGACTGACAATGTTTTTCGTAGACAATGGAGTCGCTTACAAAGCCACAAGAAGCAATTTTTTTGGCGTTCTTGTATTTTTTTTTTTTTTTTTTTTTTAAGTTCAAGTGGCTTTTGCACTAGTACTTAAATTATATGACAGCAAGGGCTTAAATGTGTGAATCTGCGCTATTAAAAATGGCACAGTTTTCCGGATTTTTGTCAAATAGAGGTCGTTGTATTGGGTCACTAATCTTCAAAATGGAAATAGCGGAAATTAGAAGAAAAAACTCTTGGCAGAAAGTCACTTTTTAAAACTGCAAAATTATCCGATGGAAAAGAACGTAAGCTAAGTATAAAGTAGAAAATTCGCGAAAAATAAAATAAATAATACGAAAAGTGCTAAAAATAATGGCCTGATATAAGGACTGTGGAAATGGACGCGCTAACTAGTCATTCGATTCAAAAATTTTATGTCATTACGAAAAGGTTATTGCAGGTGTGCTGATTGAGTGCGTATTCAAAATCAACAGGGCTAGATCAAGAATTAAGACGAAAAAATAAAATTAGCTCTAAAATAAAATACATACCATGGGGAATTTTGAAAGAATATAGCAACAAATGAGGAGATTTAATGACATTTTATCAGTTGACCACCACTTAAAATTATTGCTTTCGAGATCACCGCCATGGACTATTTCATCGATTGATTCTGTTCTTTTTTATGATTAATCGTACCTTTATCACGGCTAAATTGAATGCGTGTCGAATAAGTTCTGGTGTGGAGAGTCGATTTCCTTCTTCGTTTGTTGATCTTCGACTTCGATTGTTTGAAAAGGCACCAGAGTCGCTATCGGTGTCTGTTTCGTTCTCCGATGCGGGAAAAAAAGATTCGACCCTCAAACCGCTAGGCGTCCCCAAGGAAGATTGCATCTTGATTTCAACGCCGTTTGCTCATTATGCGCGGAGTTTATGCAGCCTGACAACTGTTGTCTGAGTAAACGCAACGTTTTTTCGCACAAAATGGATTTTGGTCGAACTTCGCATGCGGTAAGGTAACTGCTGATCAATATCTTCTATCACGGAGTGAATT